TCTGAGTTGTCTCTAGCACCACCTAGTGGACCCGCTAAGGCCCATACTGAAACACTTGTGCAACAACCCCCCCCCCCCCTTTTTGTTTGTTTTGTTTATTATTGCCACATTGCAAACTGAACAGTGATCAAGTAGTTGTTTCAGACCAATAACGAAACAAGACATTTTTTCATTTGTTTTTAGTTATGTAAATAATTTTGATTTTAATTGTCAGGTCTTGAGACATCTGCCTCTGCTTCCACAAATTTTCCATTTAGGGAAAAAAAATGTCTTTGTGGCACTCAGAGCATTAAAAAAGTTATATTTAATAATTCAGTAATGCGTCTCTCCAGAAACAATGACCCAATTACTTTTCTACAGATTACATACTATATTTACAGGATGTATTGTAGATTATTCCAAGTAAAAAATATTTTTTGCTATTAATTTTTTATGCCGTTTGCACCGCACAAAAAAAATCAAATAAAATTCTGGTCAGGTTTGCTGTACTGTGGTGACAGCAGAGGGCAGATATTTCAAGGCCTGGGACAAGAAAACAAAATTTTCCTGAAGAGACAGAGACTAGTAGCGATGGGAGAGAAAATATTTTATTTTATTTTGTTTGTAATTTGAATGATGTGACCCTTTAAGCCTAGAGCATGATTTATGACACAGACAAAAATTCAACAAAGCAGTTACTTGATCAATTTCCCCCCAGGACCCAAAATATGATCAGCTGTGTCTGAAGTGCCTCTTATTGCTTTAACAGCTTTGAGGACCTTTGAATCTTTGGTGTGTGTGATGTTTGGCTATTATTGTGACAAGCTAACAAACAAAAAAGTTACTGCAGAAATGTGGTACAATGATCTAAAAGCGTGGTTCGGAGAGAGATCTCCGACAAGTGGGGTAACTCCATCTATTCACCTCTGTATCCATCTTCTATACAAATATGCTGAAAACTGAAGTGCCCCAGGTCTGTGTCAGTTTTTCCATTTTCTTCATTGTTTTGCACAAGCAAAAGTATCCAAAAATAAATAAAATTTCTCACCACACAAAACTAAATTTCACAAGTTCATGAATATATGGAATCAATCCTCCATCTAAGACGAGGTTTCTTCCGATGTACAATACATCGGTGCTCCTTCTGTAATCCAGTGGTAATATTCCCTTTTGTTTCTCTCCATGAGTCTCTTCTTTGTAATATCTCAACATGATGCACCTTAAATTAAAAGCAGCAAATACAGGAAGGGATCATCAAACAGAGCGAGGTACAGTATACTGCGCAGGAGCAGGTCGAACATCAGGATCATAAACAACAAATATTTGTAAATGAAGTGCGAGATCCAAAATCAATCCACTGCATGTTCTCTGAGGTCTTAGCAGCTCCAGAGCAGCATAAAAGGTCTTGAGATACTTTTAAGTTGCTCACCCATATTTGTGTTTGTAAAACCTACAACACATAAGCACGACAAGGTGAGTTTTGTCACTTTGAAATATGTTTCTTCTTCACCTGCCTATAGATGAACAAAAACGGCCTGTGCCTGGAAAGTTGCCCATTTGATTTCCTGCAGAGAAGGGGTAAGTAAAAAAATCTCCAGACCCTTCACTCATACGGTTTGGGTACACTTGAACGCAGTTCTTCATAAGTCTAGAATTGCTGCAACACAACTGCTCAGCGGCCCAGAGCAGAAAATTGTGGTTGAACTCTAGTATGAATATGTGTGTATTAAGTAAATAGGATATTGCTGAGCATGTGCATTCACCAGAACTTCCTGCATGAAGTAAACCTGAAGAGCACATTTTTCTACTTATATAAAAACTTAGTATTCCTACACCTGGACAGACCTGCACTTCCTTCTGGACAGAGGACTGGATGAAGACTTGGGTAGGAGGCAGCTGTGTTGGCTTCTGGCAGTCTACTTTGTGGCAGAATCCCCATCAGGCCTCATGCTAAATGGTTCCAGGCGCTCGCTCTCAGGCAGCATGTTGTTGAGGCGCTCCATTAGCGGCACTGTCTGGTCAATTCCCATCTGGATGCGTCTCAGGATCATGGACATCTCGTTTACCTTCTGAATCTGCTCGGCGTACTTGGCATAGCGTTTCTGGCGCTCCTGCATAATGCTGAACAAAGCTTCCACTGACAAGTCCATCTAGAGATAAATAGATGGGAGAGGCAGAGACAGTCTTCGGTTTTTGATGACACTATGAATCATCTCAAAGTAAAATAGGGGACGAAAATAACTTAGATGATTTATAAAACTCATAAGTGTGCTACAGCTTTTTCCATATGACACTGTATTTATTAAATATACACACAAAGATGACATTATTTTAGCTTTCTGTCTTTGGAATATTGCTTCAAGTAATTATTTTATGATCAGTCATATTATTTTTAAATAATTTGTTAATAAAAATAGCCCTTACAATTTGCCTGAATCACTCAGACATTTTCAAATGACTTATTTTGTCAAGCAACAGTCCCAAATCCAAAGATATCCAATTCATATTTCTCTGACACAAAGAAAAGTAGCTAATCCTCATCCTCCTGTAAAGCTGTAGTAAGTGAAAATGTATATTATATTTAACAAATGTTATTGAATTAATATTTTGTATTAGGACTGAATAATAAGCCACCCTGTATGCTAAATGTCTCTAGCTGTGCTTTAGCAGTTTAACCTCTTTGATCCTCTTGACCAGGGCATTCTGGTCGAAGGCCACGGCCTCGGCACACTGGTGGAGGTGGTCCTGGTATCGAATGCAAAGCTGCAGAACCTGAGCAGCATCCAGTCTTTCCAGACACACACTGCTAGGTGACGTCTGGCCACTCAACACTCCTGTGGAGAGAAGAGAGAGAACAACTTCAATGGACATGCTGGAACAGAATGACACTTGACAGTGTGCAACACTTGGTAATTATTGTAATTACCGATGCCCAGAAACTGACAGATCTACCCCTCCTGCTATTTTGGGGGGAAAATGGCTCATTATCCACAATTCTAACAGAGTGCTAATGGGTTGAAGTAACAATAAGGTTCACTACACAACATTTGGAAATGGACTGGTGGGAACTGGTTGAAAAGGAGATTAAACTCTCAACATGAAAAAGAGAAAAAAGTGAAACTGTATAAGTCAGACAAAAGACCTACATGCTGTATAGATAACTACTGATATAATTTAAATTATTACAATCTAAAAATAAATTTGTCATTGTTAACTTACCACATATATTACACATCCAAATATCACTATATTATATTTAATCTATTGGAAGGTAACAGTGTAGTGTGCATATCCTTTGACTGTGTTCTGTTTGAAAATGTATTTAAGATCTATTTTTTAAAAATCTAAAAGCTGAATTCATTTGCAAAAGTATTCACACCCTTAATTTAGTAGTTTGTAGAGGCACCTATAGCTTTGAGTCTTCTTGGGTAAGTCTCTGAAAGCTTTGCACTCCTTGACGTGGACAGTTTATTCCATTCTTCCAGTCAATTCCTTTCAACCTGCCACACAATATGAGATTTCTGCTGTTCGTGAGCACTTGTCTAAAGTCTGTAAACTCCATTAAACTGCATTAGTTTTAAGTAGGTGTACCAAATGAACTGTCCATCTGTTTTAATGGTCTCCTACAGATGACATTAAAACAGATGTCAGCTGCTGGGAAATTTCAACATTACCTTTCAAAAGGGGCTGAAAGGTGGGTATTTCTTGAAGCTTTATGACGTCTGGATCATTGTGGATATTTCTCATTGACTGGGTCCCCTGGGTCACAACCACAATATCGTCCATCTTTGCCTTCTGCTTTGCTGGAGATGGCACCACTGTAATGACAAATCCAATTTATATTAACAGGCAGTAGTTACTTCACACGACCTCACCTTGTTACAATCAAATCACTAGCCAGTAACCTTCACACACGTTTATTAATGTTTGAAGTATGTTTCTAAACTTTAAGGTTTATTATGTTTTACATGAATCCATTTGAGCAGCCTTTTAACGTCAATAAATACTTGCTTTATCGTTTGGATAAACTCATATCCTTTACTTACAATACGTGTAAAATACTCCATTACCAGTAAGAGTTACGAGTACTATCAACAAAATATACTTAAGGTAACATATGTAAAAGCATTCATAATGAAGTGACAACTTTCAGAGACAGGTCAAACATTAGCTATTTCTACAAACGCATTAACACGTTCGCAACGTTTTAACATTTTAAGATGCTATTCCAGTCTAGCAAACAGTGTATATTTTTGGAGAAAGCGACAATCTTCACCTGACGAACTGAAATCGGAATGTTTGTGCTCCGCATCTCCACTCTGTTCAGCTCCCATGGTGTTAACGTTTGGCTAGTTAGCTTCACTAGCGGTTAGCTTTCCTCAAAACTCCCGCAAACTGCATTAAAATAAGTAAAATATGTGATGGTAAACTGTCTGCAAAGACTTTATATAGCCTCCAAACACACCGCTAACACACAATTTCCACAAGAATACTCAAAATTAGTGCTAACGTAGTTGGTTCTACAATTGAGAAGAGTACAAGCTAGCTAAGTTAGTTAGCTAGCAATCGTTTTTGCTTTACCCCTACTAGCGAATACAAGCCTCAAGGTTCCTTAAAAGTAAAGTCCTAAGAAGACCGCTATTTTCAGGGTAACTAATAACGGACATAATTCGAGGAGTTAACTCGTTCTAACAAAAACATGAGGTGTAAAGGAAGGACTGTCACTGATGTAACACTTCCGTAAATATTGATCACGGGATCTTCCTAGTCAGAAGGAACATCACTGCCCCCTACTGCTCCCGAGGTGTAAAACAGAAGCATAAGAGAACCTCTACTGTACAGTATTTATCTATATGTTAATATTTTCTATTTCGTGTTATTCCTAAATGTTTTTTCAACAATAACATATTGATGGCTAACAACTCTACTTATATGAATACTCTATTATGGGCACTTATTTTACCTGTGTGTGGAAACTCCAGATAAGACAATTCACAGGAAGAAAAGCAAACACAATACACTCTAGATTTAAGATTTATTTAAGCTCTAGCAAAAGTCCTAAATCGAACACAAAACCTTTCAATTACAATTAACAAGTATAAAAACAAAGGAGTAATATACCAATATTTCAAACTGTAGAATAACATGAAACATCCCGGACGTTAGACAACAACAACACCATTCTAAAAACATGAACCGAGATCCCTAAATACAAACAGAGCAAGCTCTGAAACTGGCCCACTAGTCCAGTCAGGCACCAGATAGCTGGAGGTTCAAACTGTGACCTCAGAAAACTGTTTCAATGAATTACAAAAATCTATTTACTGAAGTCAATTTTTTAGTAAAACAACCTAAAACGGAACACAGAGGTCATTGTGTGGTGTTTAAGATAATTCGTTTGCCTATAGATTGACTCAAACAGCTGACCATGTTAAGAAAAACTGACTGAAAAAAATGAAAAAGAAAAGCAATTAAGTCCTTCATGAAGGCAATTCCAGGACACCTGCACCCTGTTTTCTGACCGCTCTGGGCTCCTTGTCATTCTCTTCCCCAATGTCTTCTTCAGGCAAAGGGTAGGGACGCAGGTCCAGGGTCAGAATGTGGCTGAACATACAGTCATCAAACTGCAAAACACAGCAAAATAATGTAGTGACTGCACTGGCATGTGATAAAGAATTTCAAGTTGTTCCTCAATTTGTAACATGTTATAAAAGTTTGTTACATCTGAGTAGACTCCAAGCAAAGCGTCGGCCTTGGAGAAGAACTCCTCTTTCAGAGAGATGACAATGACCTGCATGTTCTTCCTGGACTCCTCCCTAATGAAACTGGTCACCTGAATACAAATAAAACACACAGACATAGTATACAAATATAATCCATATAAAATAAACAATAGTCAGATGCACATACAGTGCCTTGCGAAAGTATTTGGCCCCCTTGAACTTTGCGACCTTTTGCCACATTTCAGGCTTCAAACATAAAGATATAAAACTGTAATTTTTTGTGAAGAATCAACAACAAGTGGGACACAATCATGAAGTGGAACGAAATTTATTGGATATTTCAAACGTTTTTAACAAATAAAAAACTGAAAAATTGGCCGTGCAAAATTATTCAGCCCCCTTAAGTTAATACTTTGTAGCGCCACCTTTTGCTGCGATTACAGCTGTAAGTCACTTGGGGTATGTCTCTATCAGTTTTGCACATCGAGAGACTGAAATTTTTGCCCATGCCTCCTTGCAAAACAGCTCGAGCTCAGTGAGGTTGGATGGAGAGCATTTGTGAACAGCAGTTTTCAGTTCTTTCCACAGATTCTCAATTGGATTCAGGTCTGGACTTTGACTTGGCCATTCTAACACCTGGATATGTTTATTTGTGAACCATTCCATTGTAGATTTTGCTTTATGTTTTGGATCATTGCCTTGTTGGAAGACAAATCTCCGTCCCAGGCTCAGGTCTTTTGCAGACTCCATCAGGTTTCCTTCCAGAATGGTCCTGTATTTGGCTCCATCCATCTTCCCATCAAGTTTAACCATCTTCCCTGTCCCTGCTGAAGAAAAGCAGGCCCAAACCAGGATGCTGCCACCACCATGTTTGACAGTGGGGATGGTGTGTTCAGGGTGATGAGCTGTGTTGCTTTTACGCCAAACATAACGTTTTGCATTGTTGCCAAAAAGTTCGATTTTGGTTTCATCTGACCAGAGCACCTTCTTCCACATGTTTGGTGTGTCTCCCAGGTGGCTTGTGGCAAACTTTAAACGACACTTTTTATGGATATCTTTAAGAAATGGCTTTCTTCTTGCCACTCTTCCATAAAGGCCAGATTTGTGCAGTATACGACTGATTGTTGTCCTATGGACAGAGTCTCCCACCTCAGCTGTAGATCTCTGCAGTTCATCCAGAGTGATCATGGGCCTCTTGGCTGCATCTCTGATCAGTCTTCTCCTTGTATGAGCTGAAAGTTTAGAGGGACGGCCAGGTCTTGGTAGATTTGCAGTGGTCTGATACTCCTTCCATTTCAATATTATCGCTTGCACAGTGCTCCTTGGGATGTTTAAAGCTTGGGAAATCTTTTTGTATCCAAATCCGGCTTTGAACTTCTCCACAACAGTATCTCGGACCTGCCTGGTGTGTTCCTTGTTCTTCATGATGCTCTCTGCGCTTTAAACGGAGCTCTGAGACTATCACAGTGCAGGTGCATTTATATGGAGACTTGATTACACACAGGTGGATTCTATTTATCATCATTAGTCATTTAGGTCAACATTGGATCATTCAGAGATCCTCACTGAACTTCTGGAGAGAGTTTGCTGCACTGAAAGTAAAGGGGCTGAATAATTTTGCACGCCCAATTATTCAGTTTTTTATTTGTTAAAAACGTTTGAAATATCCAATAAATTTCGTTCCACTTCATGATTGTGTCCCACTTGTTGTTGATTTTTCACAAAAAATTACAGTTTTATATCTTTATGTTTGAAGCCTGAAATGTGGCAAAAGGTCACAAAGTTCAAGGCGGCCGAATACTTTCGCAAGGCACTGTAAGTACAATGAAACAAATTTTTCTTGTGCTTTGTAATTTGCATTTTTCTAATGCAATTGTCATTGACAGTGGACGGAATCTAGTCCCTATTCTATGTGAAATACATGATCTGAAATTAATATGAAGTTTCAACAGTGTGAGTTGGAAAATTCACGTTGGTGTCCTCCAAAGCTAGTTGTTTTTATCATGACATTCAAGCTCTGAGTTATTACAACCTTGCAGCTAAGCACAGAGAACGCTGCTGAGGAAAGCACAAAGAAGGAACTTCAAACCAAAAACACTACATTTAGAAGATACATATCTAACTCAGTAAGCTGAACCCTCATATTACAGTAGCTTCACATAAACTCTGGAGTATATTTTCACACAAAACCAAGATATTGTTCCCCATTGTTTACACTAACACACTAACAAAGCCTTAGGAAGAGATCTTCAAATGGTCCATATTATCAGTCAATCAGTCACAATGGGTTTTCAATTAATTAATTGATCTTTTGATATATAAAATATAAGTGAAAAGTTAACAATCCCAAACAAGTTAAGGTGATGTCATGATTACAAGCACAAGCTTTTATTTTGCTACACTTCCATTTCTTTCTTTGTTCCCCTTTTCACTCTACCTGCTCCAGCCACACTCACCAGACACTGAGTGCCTCAGGGTTCTGTTTTGGTACCTAAATTATTTATATTATACATTAATGATATATGCAAGGTTTCTGATTTAGTGAAATTGGTTTTGTTTGCTGATGACACTACCATATGGGCATCGGGTGAAAACCTACAGCAACTCTCTGGACGGGTTTCACAGGAACTTGAGAAGATAAAGAAATGGTGTGATAGTAATATGCTATCTCTGAATTTGGATAAAACTAAATTTATGGTATTTTGGAATCGTAGACTAGATAATGAACTTCAATTGAAAATTGGGGGAGCTAATATAGAATGAGTATATAAAATTAAATTTCTAGGTGTCATAGTTGATGACAAATTCTCCTGGAAATCGCATATCAGATATGTTCAGAATAAAATAGCAAAAAATATATCGATATTGGCAAGGGTTAGATATATTTTGGACGGGAAAGCACTACGCATTTTGTATTCTTCATTGATTTTACCATACTTAGAGTATGGCGTTGAAAACTGGGGAAATACATACAAAAGCTCACTTCAACCATTGTATATATTACAAAAAAGAGCGATAAGAATTGTGCATAAGATGGGGTATAGGGATCACACCAATGGAGCTTTCATACAGTCTAAATTGTTAAACTTTTTGGTTTAGTGGGTTATAAGACTGCTGTGTTTATGTATAAAGCCAGGAACAATTTATTACCTGGTGGAATTCAAAAACTATTTAATGAAAGGGAAGGGGGATACAATTTAAGGGGTCAGTTAAATTTAAAAATTCATGCTATACGTACAACCAAAAAAAGATTTTGTATTTCCATAAGTGGGGTAAAACTATGGAATAATTTAAGTGTGGACATAAAAAATAGTAATAGAATTGATGAGTTTAAACATAAATATAAAGGTATGTGTCAATCAAGATATATGCAAGAACAGGCTCAATGATTAATTACATGGACAATTGTGGGTGTGGTGTACACTTTGTAATAATTTTATAGTATAATACTTGTGTGGGTAGAAGTGAATCATTTACTGCTTGCAAACCAATGATGGTAAGATGATGTCATGGGGTAGGACTGGATAAGTCTGACTTCTTCCTACTCCATTCAAGCATGTACTAGGTATAAGCAAATTGATATTGGATTATGTGTACAATCATGTGTGTTGTCATATCAACTGTCTTTACATGCTTGAAAGAATAAATCAAATCAAACCTGTATCATATCAGTGTAATCAACCTCACCTGTGTTATTGTTTCAAAAGTCAGCCTTCTTTCATGTATAATTCTATTTCGAAGTCAGGCTTATACTTACTTTGCTGTACTCTGTGCTGGTCATGTTTCAGCATTATGTTGTTCACCTGCACACCTGCCATTATTATTAAAGCCTGTTTTCGTTATCACTAAGCACCAGTCCTGAGTCTGTGTCTGGGTCCTGTAAGTCTGAAATCATTACAGGTGACACCTTAAAATGTCCTGTGCTATCCAACCAATAATGTCATATGAGCAGTGAAACTGAGCCAAAACTAAGATTAGCCAATTATCAAAACTGTTTGCAGATAATTTTATGTTAATCAACTACCTGGTTCATTGACTAGCTGTTGGACCACTACAGCAGATATTAATTGTAAACCGTGGATACAGCAGGGATCATAACTTGCCAATGGTAGGGTTGTC